AACAGAGAAGATTTTTAAAAAAAATATATGTAAGACAAAGTTTTAAACAGTGTTAATGCTAGATCTTGTATAAAATTACTCTTAAGACATATCAAATTAGATCTAGAGTCTATATATATATGTCGAACAATAAATGAATTTTTTGAGAACTAGATATATAGAATTCATGACTACACTAGAACTAGATCCATATATTAAAAATAATAAAATTAAAGATAATGACTAACATCTAGCATAGACCTAAGTATAAAATAATGACAATACAGTATTATTATAATTTATATTTATCATAAACTAATCATCAACTAATGACACTACTCTATAACTATAAGGCTAATTATCTAGAGACACTAGACTAGATTCTACTAATTCTAGATCTAGATTCTATAATGACTAGATGTCCATAATTAGTTTATATAGAATATAGAGTCATAGAGCTACTAGATCTATAATATAATTATAATAGTAGTCAATATCTAGATTGACTAGATTATTCTAGATCTATAGTCTATGAGTCTATATAGTAGTATATAGATCTAGCAGCAATCTAGAAGCTAGCCTAGATATTATTATAACTAGATTGTTACTAGAATTTACTAGATCTCTAAGTAAGCCTATCTCTAGTCTAGATAAAAGTAGATTCTAGATTTAGATCTCTATAAGTAAGACTTAGTCAGATTATCACTATTTTTATACTATATTAAAAATCATTATAATATTCTATTATCTAGATCTATAAAGTATAATAACTATACTATACAATTTTTGTCCTTATGTCATTAATTTGATTACATAAAATAATAACATATTTTATGGCCATGGGCCATGGCATGATCATAATCATATGATTATGATAAAAAGACAATGATTTGTCATTAGTGACATTAGACTCATTAGAGAGTTCAGCCTTGTATTTCTAACTTGTTCAGGAGACGAAGATTACATTACTAGAATTTTCAATTAGAATATTAATTTTATTTAGTCTTAGAAAGTTAGAGTAGACTGACTAAGTCACTAAGACTCAGTTTAAGACTTGTCTGACTTGACTAAGTTTAATTTAAAGTTAGAGTTAGTCTAAGTCAGTAACTGAGTAAGTGACACTAAACTAACTACTAAGTTCATAAAAGTTGACTAAGAGTCTAAGTCGTAGAGTCAGACCTATCTCAGTATCTGGCTATCGCTATTACAAATCGGTAATCCAGAACTCTAGTCTATTTATAACTAGACTAGGTAAATTACCCTGCAATAGTACTAGAGTCTAGATCTAGAAAAAAAAAACTAGATTCTATCAGTGACACTAGACTCACTAGTGACAGTGGGTGTTATCATTTCATTGCTTGCAATGGTCTCTATAATTTTGTTTTGTTTTCTAACAGTAATATAATCGGAGTACTTTCCCCTTAGTTTGATTAAAAATGACACTCATAAATATATAGGTCTGTGTTTAAACCTCAAAACACGAAACTTGTTGCTTTTGTTGATCTAACTCAGTAACGGAAGTCCATTCAAATAAAATAAATTGGAAAAAAAAAAAAGAATTCAGAAATATGCCTCCCTCATTTTACAATAAATTGAATAACAAAATCTCTATTTGTTATACGAAAGTATTCCACTGAAGGTTGCGGATTCTTAGCCTCAATCCACTGACGTAATCTTCGATGATAGGTCTTATCTTATCTTATATAATACAGACGTTATTGGTGCAAGTTAAAGGCCCCAATTTATCTAAAATATGCCATATAGAAAACAGAATGGCCATATAGGCCTACAAAAAAAAACCTAATTAAATACCAAAAAAAAAAAAAAAAAAATTGATAAAGGCGCATTGCTTATTCCATATTCTAGGACTAAATTGTGCAAGTGCCTCTTCCCTAGTGGCACTAGAGTATTGAGCGAGCAGTTTGGTGAAACAGTTTCTAGGTTCAGAGCCCTTCAAGCATTAGTCTTCAGAATCGCCTCCGCCCCTTCTCTTAGCTTATATATTACAGACGTTACTTCAGAAAAAAAGATAATTACGTCCAACTCATTTCATGTGTCAATCTATTAATGCAGGTTAATCAATGACTTAAACTCTGCTAAGTCGTTGGTTTTCCTGGCTGATTCAGGCAACCCATTCAATTCTTTAATGGCACTAGGAAAGAGGGAGCACATTTCACACTTTTTGTTCTAGTGTATGGAATAAGAAATGTGCCTATATCCTTGTGTCTTTCTGAGTATTTCATTAGGTTTTGTTTTTCTATTCGTAAATTATGGTTTAGTGTTTTATGCATATATTACATCTCACCTCTCACCTTTTTGTCATCAACATAAACTTTCTGCCCTTATTAGATCTTTCACAAGCATAAAAATTACATTTATTTACATGAATTTAGTCTACGATGACACACACACACACATGCATAAAGAAAATATGGAATTTAGTTTTATTCGGCAGGTATCAAATATTTTTTCCAGTGTCGGAGGCTTTAGTCCTATTAAAGTCGGGCTATGAGAACAGGAAGCATGTTGTAAAAGACAGCAGACAATTATGCAGTAGCATGCAGACAAGCATGTTCAACAGTATTACACCTGTAGTCTGTTTTATCGACAGACTTAGCTCAATGACGCTTTAAAAATATGTCACTGCAAAAATAGCCAATCAGGTAGCCTCTTACATCTAAATGTAGGCGTTCAATGTTGTCGTCTTTCCAATGTTACAACCTGCTGTTTTAAACGTGACCATTTCATGATCACATCCTAGCATCGACTCAAAGTATTATTGTCACCGATAGCTGAAAATATTATAGATCTGGTTGAACTAACACAGACGAACAGACGGAGGCACCTGCTCCCCCCCCCCTCTTCTCTCTCTCTTATACACATACAATTTGAGTCTTACGCTTGCTTCTAATGTTGCTTTTTTTTAACTCTCTTAGAAATATTTTTTGTCTGGAATGCACGTGACTCAAGTCTGCAATGTTGCACGATTAAACCATCGACTATGTCTCATTGTCTTCGCGTTCGTATAATAACCGCGATTAATCATAGCTCTAATGAAAAGATCATCTATGCACATAGATCTTGTTTTAAATATATTTAAATATTAAACACAAATTATATTAAGATTTATTTTGTCAAAGCTAGAATCACAATCAACATAAAAAACTTGAATCTTATTTTGTTTTGTTCCATGTCGTAAAGTTGGATCAAAGTTGAAATCAAATCATTATATATATTTGTCATCAAGTTTTCAATCAAACAATTTTAATCGTAACTTTTGTTTATAAATTCATGGTTTGGATGTATAAATGAAACAAAAATTGATGATACATATATCAGATTCGATGATCAGATTTGATGGTTTCATTGGAATAAATGACTCCATGTATGTGCTTTATTTAATTGATATAAAACTGTGTTATTAACATCAAGCGTGGTACTTATTTCGTCAGAATTTGTTTTCTATCACACTATAAAAAAAATTCTTGAAGGCTGCTTAAATCAAATCCAACATGTCTTCTAAAATAAACAACACGCGCTATTTCAATGTGTTTAGTTTATCCGTTATGTTTTTGTTGAAAGGAATAATTCCAAACTCAGTGACTGGAGATTCAAAATGGAAACTTAAAGAAAATATGAATGGTTATCAAGCAGAAATTATGTCCTGCACAACAGATAAAGTAGCCAGGACAGAAAAACTACAAGAGCCAATCGTTGTGGTGAGTCAGGTCCATTGTGCTCAATTCTGCGCCAAAGAGTTACTGTGTGACATGGCTCTGTATCAGACGTTCGCTAATGACTCTAAGTCCTGTACTTTGTTACAACAGTTAAACTTGAGTAACTCAAGTGATAGAGTTGACTTCTCCTCCGTGAAATGTTCTTTAATACTCTCCAACCCTTGTCTCAACGGAGGACTGCTGGAAAACGAAATATGTGTTTGTAAGCCTGAGTTTTCTGGTGAGTTCACTTTTTTAAAACTCCAATACACTCATATGCAGAGATCAAAGTTTCATATTGCCAAGTTTAAAAAAAAAAAAGTCAAAGTAGGCCTTTTTTTTTCTACACCCTGTTTTTAGTCGGCTTGCAAAATTTTTTTTTTAATTCACCACCACCCTTTTTATGGGTTATTAGGGGCCTATTTTTTTTTTGAAAAGTTAAAATAATGTCAGTTATATAGGTTTGCTAAACATATTGGCCAATAGAAAAAAACAACTATACACTGAATATTATTTCATTGAATGTAGAATATATCAGGAAAGATTTAGACAAGATCCTCAGTTATTTGAGATATGGGGCTCCTTGTAATCAGTATAAGATATTCTTTTCTTTGCTATTTCTTCAAAATGATTGTAAATGGAACTATTTTTGGGCATTCCCTGGGCAAGTGAGGCCCCTTACCTATAGCTTGTGATGTCTATTGGTAAATCCAACACTGATTGCGATTGCGCATGGGGTTTTTCAAATTGACCACCTTCACCTCTCCCTTAGTCTGTTGGACCGTAGGGACACCACACATGACCCGTTGACCGTCTTTCTCAAGTATGCTCTATCTTTTGCCTCAGATAGAATCCTTCAGTGTTGTCGTCCCATCGATTTCTTTGTCTGCCTGTTGACTGTTGTTTCTATTAGCTTTATAATTTGTATTCCAAACTGACGTGAAAATACAATCTGCGAAAAATATCTAAATGTTACTCGCTTGTTTGATCATAGTGAGATTCGACAATACATTCACTTTCTATACTATACTCGAATTATGATAAGTTCGATAATGTTGTTGAAACCTTCAACTATTTAGTGTAGAATGTTGACTATCACAATGTTAAGTAAGTGTAGATGTCGTATAACTCTTAACGCGGGGTGGCTAAGCGGTAAAGCGCTTGACTTCCGAAACGGGTTCGAATCCCGGTGGTATATAATTTCGAGATCTTTGGGCGCCCCTGAGTCCACCCAGTTCTAATGTGTATCTGACATTAGTTGGGGAAAAGTAAAGGCGGTTGGTCGTTGTGCTGGCCACAGGACACCCTCGTTAACCATGGGACACAGAAACATGACCTTTACGTCATCTGCCGTCACCAGGTCTGAAAAGGACACATTTTCTTAGCTTGAATACATTTAATTCATCATGGAAAACTAGACGCCCACTGTCTTCGATGTCGCTACAAGAAAACACGAAGTTCAGGATACTTTTCAGTACCTAACCCTAACGAGACGCACTCCTATCAACTAACTTTTATTTCACATCTATATTTCCAATCCTATTTTTCCACCTACGTCATAGTTGCTAGTTGCAAGTGTCACTACTAAAAAATAAACACATTAAACAAACCCACAATTTACGCGCCAAATCTAAAATCATTTCTTAACAAGCTACATGAAATTAAGAAAGAGAATTACCATTTCGATTGGAAGAAAAATCAAGGTTACTGGCCAGAGATTTGGGGGGCCCTGGGGGCTTGACCTCTTTTGACATTCGACATCATGACTACGATAATGCCGTAATATTTAATATTTAGTGTAAAACAAATTTTTGACACTCATTTGTACCTCCTCCCCCCCCCCTTTTTTTTTTCAAGTGCAGGCCCGGGAAGATTTTCAAATTCGGACCTCCCTCCCCCATTTTGCTGCACCACTGCTCAAGATGGCGGTTTGACATCTCAAACTCTCTTTTTCTCTCTCTCTCCCTTCCTCCCTCCCCCCCCTCTCTCTCTCTTAGTCTTTATTTTTATTATCACATTTTTCATATATTTCTTGATGCATTATTGAAGACGGCTTCTGACAGGTAAAAGTGTAGAACTTTGGTTGCGCACAGAATGACAGCATCCTCATTATGCCATAGTAAAGGTTTAAATGAATCACTAGGATTAAGGATAACTGTAATGATTATAAAATAGAAAATGAGCGTAGGCCTACTTAATTAGTAAATACCTTTTTAGGTTTTATTTACACAAAAGCTATACTTAATACATAATCCTTTGATATATAAAGCTTAAAAAAAAATACTAGATGTCTTGCACCTTAAGGAGAAAAAAAAACGCGTTATGATTGTAATGAAAAGTAAGTTTTGTGACATTACTAAGATAACCCACGGAATGGGTTGCCTGAGTCAGCCAGGAAAACCAAGAACTTGGCAGAATTTAAGTCATTGGTTAACATGCATGATTAGATGCATAACGCGTAGGACGTAATCATCCTCTTTTTTGAAGTAACGTCTGTATTTTATAAGATAAGATATATTGAGTTAAAGTGCATATCATAATCAGTTTCATTTCCACTCAGGTGAAAGATGCGAGTATAAGAATCCAAGCTGCTGCAACGGGCAGTGGAGGCTCGTCTATACCTCGTCGCCTTCGGTCGCCCCGCCAGTTTATGAAAACCAAGATCTTCATCACTCTAAGTTGAGGTACAGAGACGCCGCTACCAACGCTACAGTGGTTTTAACTGCAGCATATTGTAGCTGCACTTTAAATGAAAGGTTGTCCTTCGAATCCCATACAACTCTAGACAAATCAAACTGGAACTCAACAACTTCCAAAAGACGCTTCTTGCATTTCAGATCTGATGGTGGCTATCAGAGTGTAAGCTTTAACTTTGCAAAGGGCAGTTACTCTACATATACAGGCACTGCAAAATTTGATTTCTTTGTCAGGGATCCAATATTTCAGCTTCAGATCTCTTATGACCCGCTGAACTGCGTTCTTCTTAGGTCAGCGCTGTCCGAAGGTTTTCAGCACTTCGAGCAGACGACAACGGCATTGTACGATGATGAGAACATTGTCTTTCAAATTTCGGAACTGTATCAAACTGTCTACTATGGAGGTCACTTCACTAGTCCGCAGACATGGTACAACGTTAAAACCGTCTGGGGAAAAACCGTAAGTGCTGTTGAAATAGCGATCGGGAAAGGAACTTTTGAAAACATCGAGGATGATAGTTCATCCGGAAATGTTATTTTAGATACGTGCTGGATGGCACTCTCGTTGGATAAATTTGGCCGACTGCAACCTAAAAAACTGGCTAGTTACCTACAGAGAGGTCACAGTGTCAAGGTCTTTTTTGACAACGTCTACTACAATGTCATTGAAGTGGTTGGGGTCGAAGGGCAACTGTTTTTCGTATTAAAGCACCACATGACAAAGACAGGGGTGGAACCTCTGGATACGTTGACGTACGGGGTGAAGACCATCGTCTCTTCCGCGGGGAAATATGAAAGATGCGCCCATGTTATGGAAGGGGAAACAGTGAAGGCTACATCCAGTGGCGTCACCACAAACCTCAGATGGTTTGTGGACACGAAGACTTGGACTCTTGCCTACTCGGTGGCTTCTAACAACAGGTAAGGTGTGGGATTCATGGCAAGTTTCTTCCATTCCCACTATTAACTCACAAATTTCTTTATATTGAAAAGGTGGTGAAAACCTAAAGTTCATAACTCAAGCCAAAATTGAAATATTCATTTCGAACTAAAATCTAGCACATGGAAGTATTGCTGTTTAGCTAAAATGATAAAAACTAAAGTTCCACTTTCACGCCATGCGATCTATGGGGCAGATAATGTAAAGGTAATCTGTTTCTGTGGCCCACGGTTAACGAGGATGTCATGTGGCCAGCAGAACGACCAACCGCCTTTACTTTTCCCCTGCTAACGTCAGGTACTCATTACCAAGTTTCGAACCCGGGACTCTTTGGTCCTAGCGCGACTTCAGCTAAGTTGATAGAACGTCGCAAATGTGGTGGGTTCCAAACTGGCTAATATTTTTTGTATATCTTTCAATGATAAATAAAATATAGTGGTCTAGCTTACTCTTTTGTTTGTACATATAGAAGATGTGAATTGTACATTTTATATTTCTCATAAAACTTTATTGTAACATTTTACAAATGAAAAATTGTGTGCATTTGCAAAATACTAACAAACAAGTTAATCAGCACATGTTTAGCACCGAGGTTTAATTTTTTTTTTATATATAATAATCGATTCATTATTCTTTATTCAATCAGCATTGAACAGGGCTCTCTTAGTGTACTGGCGCAAGCAGTGCTGGACGGCAGAGATGTCCGTGTGTGGGTCAAGTGGCTACTGTACGACAAGTCCAGATATATGGAGACACAACAAAGTTCTGTAACTCCGTCAGGCAAAGTAAATTTTAACTCTTTATATCCGTGATTATTTTCCATGTTCTGGCAGAATTGTTCATTCTACACTGTTATGATCAAACTTCAATAACATTTTTGTTTGAAATCAGAAAACGTTATTTTTGGTATACAATTATAGGAGAATGCATGCTCTTTTATATAAAACACAAATACAGGTTTATAAAACCAAAAGTTAATTTAATTTAATGTGGAGAAATCAACAATGGTATCGTTAATTAGGAGAGAAAGAGTTAATTTGATTTAGCTTTGGCTTACTTTCGAAAACAAAGATTGGGACGCTGGATTCTTTTTGTTTGGACAGGATGTGTCACCCTTGTTTTTTTTTTAAATAAATAAGGCCACATAAAACCGCAGAATTGTTAAACACTTAGATCACTTTTCCTTTTTTCTATAAACTAATATCGCACATTTGAGGCTCGGCTGCTGAGTGGTAAAGCGTTTGGGTTCCAGGGTTCGAATCCTGGTGAAGATCGTGATTTTTAATTTCTGGTACCTTAGTTCGCCGCCGAGTCTGACCAGTTCTAATTAGTTGGAGAATTAGTTCTAATTAGAAATGTGGGTTGTCACTGTGCTGGCCACATGACACCCTTGTTAACCGTGGTCCACAGAAACAGATGACCTTTACATCGTCTGCACTAAAGATTGCAAGATCTAAAAGGGAAACTCTTTTTTTACCCCACATTTAAACGTAGATCTCAACGATTGAGTCTTTAACACTAAGTGTGTGTATCTACTAAGTCTATATAGCATAGGGCTATTAATTCGGTAACCCTTATCTTATCTTATATAATTCAGACGTTACTTCAAAAAAAGAAGATGATTACGCCCTACGCGTCATGCATTTAGTGATGCATATTAACCAATGACCTAAATTCTTCCAAGTCACTGGTTTTCCTGGCTGGCTCAGGCAACCCATTCCATGCTCTAATAGCACTAGGGAAGAAAGAGAATTTGTCCTAGCACATGGAACGAGGAATGTGCCTTTATCCAAAGCAAACGAAAATAAATACATACATATGTTTCTGACAAAATATAAAATACGACAGTCTGGGAATAATATTTCTATTCGTCAGTAATCAGAACAATTTACTCTAATTCTTGAAAGTGTGGACTTAATATTCGCGTTTCTTTGTTTACTATCCAACATCTGCTAAGTATATGAATGATCTAGAATAATCTAGATTCTAGAAGATGATACATACGGTTTTCTACTTAAGATGGAATTAAAAAAATAATATAGATGTATGCTTGGTCGTGTTGTATGTGCTCCGGACTGTCGTCTCGATTATCCCGGGTTCGAACACTACCAGCCGCCATGCCCCTCCATTCGCGGGAGGCTTTTGCTATTGCTAGTATGTAATAATCTTCAATTTTGAAACAACATCCGAAATATGTAAATCAAACTAAAGTATTTTACTAATTTTTGAATGATGGCTGCCCCCACGGCTAAGTACGAGTAGTAACGGGTCAACAACTCGAAATATGTATTCTGAAATCAGTTGAAAAGTAGACTTAATGGCGTCATATTACTTTTGTTTGTTACAGGTGAGCACTGAGGGCGTGGTCACGTGGGCAACAAGCCCGCAGGCGATGCCCAATGTGACGCTCTGCCCGCAGTGTGGCTACGAGTACGTCCTGGTGACGTCGGACGGTTACGTGGAGGCGGTGACGTACAACGTCTTCACGCCGGCCGTCAAGATGGTGGTCAATGACGTCATCATCACGTGGTTTGCTAACTGAATAGAAGGAGATCCATAAACTTGACTATTTGTATCAAATCGAGGTTGTGTAAATTTAGGATGTACAAACCTTATTAGTTCAATAAGAAAACAAATTAGTCTCTTTAAGAGACGTGATACATATAAGTGGTGTGTGAAGTGTGTGTGAAGTGTGTGTGTGTGGAGTGTGTGTGTGTGGAGTGTGTGTGTGTATGTATTGGCTGATGCATTCTGATGTAACCACGAGTAAGTCTGTCAGATGAAGTTTATAAAAGGGAGAGGACGTTTTTTGGACAGTCGAGGTCGGAGGCTGAAAGACCGGAGGACGTGTTTTTATTGTAGTTTGAGTTGTTTAGCATCTTATTATTTCACTCGTGTTTCTACATTTATCAATACTGGTCAATAAAAGTTAGGTTCGATTTTATTCAATAAAAAGTTTGTTCAAGTTTTGTTCAATTTCTGCATTAAAACAAACTGACAGAGAAGAGAGCACCTTGTTGCCAGCGGCTTCAGAACGAGACAGCCGGAGGTCACTTACAAAGGTCGCGGGATAACATTTGAGACCAAAAGAAAATCCGCTGCCGAGGACAAACGCAGACGGCGAAAAGAAAATCGACCACTTGCGGAAAATGGTTAGGCCTATGCCTTCGCTGAATGTAGCAAAATATGTAGGTCACAGCTGGGGCTGCATTGTCATGGGAAATACTCCATTCCTCATAAATCTTCGGACTTGAAGACAAGCCTTAATATTATTAAAACAAAGGAATACGCCCACATCGATTTAGTTGGACTAGCTGTCTGGAACTACAACCCAACAATGCCTAAGTTACCAAGCTGTTCTAATGGGTTAAAAGTTTAATTATAATCTTGTAATATAATATTCTTATCATCTGGCTTACTATAACTCTATCAGTATTATAGGATTCCCTTAGTAAGGAAGATCTGTTCTACTCTATATTTTAGTTTGTTTATGGGCTGTTGGTAAAAAAAAATTTTGACATGTTTCGTATATTCATTCAGAGTTGAAGATAATCTACTTCCTAGTCCAAACCTCCCGCAGAACACCGGAGGATGGCACCATTAAGACTACCAAAAGACTGTCCAGCACGCATGCCGCACGACCAGGCAGCTATCCCAACCAGGCAGCCATCCATATAGTAACCGTTTGCTGATTAGTTAAATTCTGATTCGTATGATTTACAGAAGTTGTTTCAAAGTTTGAAAAAACAGTATTCTCTATACGTATTGATGTTAACCAAAGATATCAACTGTTATATTTTAGAGGCCACTACACCCATTTTCGTATCGAAATTGAAGAAAACTCGTATTTAGGGAGGCCAACTACAACAACATTTTTGAAGTAACGTCTGTATAAAGGCCTATATAAGATAAAACAAGGAAATACCAGCAGTTTGTATAAACTGTCACAATTCAATTCAAGAAAACAATAACTGGAGCAAAGACACATTTGGGCTTTGTAGTTTGCAAAAAAAGAATGTTCGCATTAGACTAGAAGCATAATATTAGTAATTTTAAAATCTCTAAATTTAGAGACACTTCTGCACCAGTGGCGTAGCTAGGGATTTGGGTGCCCAGGGGCCCTTGCATTTTGAGATTCGACAACATGACATGAGATAATGTACTTTATAAGTCTAAATTTCAATTGGGAAAGTAGGGGCCTATATACGTAAAATTAACACAAAATAATGATTAAGACTGTTTGAATGAATAATACCGTTTGTTCATTGGCGAAAAAATGCACAAGTGACAAATCCGATTCATATCACCTCACGTCGTGCTTTCTGTGCAACATAGGCATCTATAACATCATCTAGATCAGTGTTTCCCAAACTTTTGACCTATGTGTACCCCTTTTATAATTTTTTGTAATGCTGAGTACCCCTTGCCCTCCCCCCCCCCCCCACACTTTAATTTATTAACAGAACATAATAAATGGGTATTTTAAAAAATCAGCATATTATCCCCTCCAAAATCTTCCCGTACCCCCGGCGTACCTCACTTTGGGAACCACTGATCTAGATCAATATTGTCTAGTATTTCTGACTCCACGTGAATAGCAAGATCACATGGCAGTTGCGTAATATTTAATATTAAAAAAATCGGACATTCACTTGGGGGACCCCCCCCCCCCCACTACGCCACTGTGTAGGACAGAAGATTAAATAGTAATAAAACATAAAACTCTGAACCACATTTTGCAAATACAAAAACACAATATAATAAAATACTTAGAAAAGACACAAAGATAACGGCACATTTCTTATTCCATATGCTAGAACAAATTTAAATAAGTGCTCCTTCTTTTCTAAAGCCATTAGAGCATGGAGAGGGTTGCCTGAATAAGCCAGGAAAACCCTAACTTGGTAGAGTTTAAGTTTCCAATGTATGCGTTTAATGTAATCTGAGTAGTGGTATTGGGTTTTAGTAATGGTATGTTG